GCCCCCCCCCCCCCCCCCATACCTCGAGGCGGTAAAGGACCCGCCATGGCTTCGGTGCTTGGATACGACTGCATTAACAAGTTCTTCTTAGAGTCTACTCGGGCTCTCAGGGCAACCTTAAAGTTGGAAATGCCGCACTTGCAAAGATGCGAACTGGCACAGACCGTGTTCCTGTGATTCCTGAACCATCGTGATCTGACTTTCCGATGTCGACTTCCTGCTGTGTGCCTCCCATGCAGTCACTCCTGCACATCCTCAACCGTAATCCTCAACCCTTAAAACCTAACCTAAGAATCCCAAAGCCTGAACCCTAAACCCTAAGCCCTGAACCCAAGTTGCTCTGGTAACTGAGAGGTTTAGGGCTTGGGGTTTTGGGTGCAGGGCTCGACGGTTTAGCTGAGATGCTGCAGGTTCAGCGAGATTGACGCAGAGGATCGGGGGGTCATCACCTACCAGCTGCCTGTCGCAACTTCAATGCCAGGCTTTTCGTGTTGAGGCTTTAGGGTTTAGGCTTTAGGCCTTAGGCTCTAGGCTTTAGGGTTTAGGGTTGGGGCTTCAGAGAGACCTCGTTCAAAAAGGGTTGGGGCTTTGGGGGTTCCGGGAGGGCCTCCCCTCCATGCAAAGTCTCGGCCCAAGCTATCTCATCCCTAATTATGGAATCCTCTAAGCTCTTAGACTTTAAGCCCTATGAGAGGGAGCCACAACTTCCCAAAGCTCAACCTATACCCGAACACCCAGATGCTGAATCCGAAACATGTTAAACCCTGCATGCTACTTCCGAGGCCTTAAACCCCAATCCCGGCAAGAACTAAACCCCCAACTCACGAATTGCTTGAGACTATCCCGGGATGTTCAAAAAGCCCCTAATGTAGGGGTCTAAATCATTACCAATGCTATGTTGGGAGCTCCTCATTATAATTATAAAGTAGAGTCCCCGGATTTTCGACCCTAGAAGCCCCAAACCCCCAAGCTTGTCCCAGGATGTTCGAAGAGAAGGTGAACGATCAAGCCGTGAAGGCCTACTTCGAATCCATGGACCTCGACGTTTGGGATGCGCCTCGGGAGGGTTCAGGCTTTAGAGTTTTAGAGGTTTCGGGTTTTGGGGGCGTAGAGATTCAGCGGTTTGGGGTTTCGGGCCGTTTAAGGGTTGAGGCCTTGGGATGTTGCCTTAGAAGGATTTGAATTCGCGTTTTTTGTGAGTCTGTAGATCGTATTAGGGCTCTATAGCGGCGTCCTGCATAGAGGTAGATGGGTTCATCTGAGTTCTAATGAAAGTAGGTGGAAGGTTTCGTCAATGCTGACCTCGTGATACAGATCCGGCTATTAAAATTGGGGGTTTGCTGCGTGCTTCCAGCGGTCCGTCAGTGCAGCTACGATTTTGGGATAGTCTTTGTGCGTGTCTGAGGTCTCAATCCTCCACCCTACAACCAAAACCCCGGAGCTACAAGCCGTAAAGCACGAAAGCCTCCCAACCCCCTCCCCCCCAAAAAAACAAAAAACAAAAAACACCATAAACCATAAATCTAAAGCCTCGCGTGGGTGAGTGTGAGCGCCGAAGCCCTACATCCTAAATCCCAAGCCCTAAACTAAACCCGAAGTCCCTAAATCCTGCACCCTCGCCCTACACGCAAAACATGAGACTGCCAAACACAAAGTTCCACACCCTGAAACCCCAAACTTGCCGAAACCCCTGGACGCTTTGCCTTGGCGCTGCTGTTACTTTTGTTCCGTAAAGACATGAGGCCTGTAGGCTTCGAGTTTTCAGGTTCTTTCAGGTTTGTGGTTTCTTTGGTTTTTTGTGTGAGGGATCCAGAATGAATAGATAACAACGGTTTGGGGCATAGGTGCGGTTGCAGATTGAGCAAGTATACTTCTCACTCTGGGGTTTAGGGTTGGTGTCAGCCCAAAGTCCTGGAGACCAATCCTACTGTAGGAAGCTTGCTAAACCAGATGGCCTCAGACTCTAAACAAGAACAAAACCTCGACGCCCCCAAAGAATAAACCCCAAGCCATTGGGCCAGACAAGCCAACCAACCCTCAAGCAAGACACCCTAAACCCTTAACTTCCTAAACCCTCAACCCCAGAGTAAAGCTTCTGGTCCTTCTTGAACCTGAACACTCTATTTCCTAACCTGGAAACCACAACACTCTCAACCCCAAACCTCAAAAGCCCTTGTACCCTAAGCCCAGAATCCCGAATCCCCTAACCCACACTCCCCCCCTACCTTGCGTTCATAACGAGGCTTGGTCTTTCTTCAAGCTTTTGGATCTGGATTCAGGCCGCTTGATGCCGGAGTTCCTTTGGTTGATTCCTTGCTGCAGGCTTCTGGGTCCTTGTTGGATACAATTTCGCATTGTTATAATGACTAACCCAATAAGGATTCAACATGATCATGTTTAGTATGGTCCCAACAGGGAACCAAACTTTAGGAGCCCGGAGACAGCTTAGCAGAGTTTGGGATTGGGCAAGGAAGGGCGGCTAGGAGGGCCGGGCCTCGTGGATTCAGGCTGGCGCGGCTAAGGCAGTTTTTTCACAGACCCCAAGGCCCTGTTCTACTTACTGCGGCCCTATATTAAAGGCTGCCCCAAAGCCCTATTCTGATAATTCGCGGCCCTTGTATAAGGTAACCCCGTAGCCCTAACATAGGGGCCTGAATAATTAGAATAGGGTTTGGGGGTATGTTGGACCATAAACATAATAATTAAGGAACCCCAATAATCAGAGCCTCTCCCAAATATCAACCTTGATAACTACAATCCGTAACCCAAGTACCTGATTATTGGGGCCCTGTGGGCCCCGAGGGCTATAGATGCTCTTCGGCCCAAAACCCGATTCTAATTACTAAGGCCCTTACATTAGTCTAATTACTACGGCTCCCGAAACCCTAAACCCTAAACCCAAAACTAAGGCATTGTAGACTCGTTGTGTCACGCCGACCTTTGTACCTATGGATCCTCGCCTGGCTTGTCCGAGTTGTGAGAGTGTAAACCCAAGTTTTGGACTCTGGTAGCGAGAGTTCAGGTTCGAGGGGTCGGGCCCTTGCTTTGGCAACCTTGAGCCTTTCAGGGTTTCGACTTTACGGTTGAGGGGCTTGGGTTTAGGATTTAGAGTTCAGAGTTTTAGGGTTTAGGGTTTAGGGTGTAGGGTTTAGTTTAGAGTTTAGGGTTTAGGGTTTAGGGTTTAGGTTAGGGTCCAGTCACAATAGGCCTTCGAAAGTATTTCCTGCATCGGACGTGCCAAAACCCTGTGGTAAACGATTACGGACCGGCGTTTGTCACGGGTCCTGCTAGGGTCTAGTGTTTGCATTGCAATCTTGCGCCCTCGACATAACAACAACATGTTTCTTGCCGTGGCTGACGCTTCGTGCACGTCAGCCGTCGGATTTGAAAGCTCATGTGAAATAGAACACGCTGAAGCCTGAACCCTAAACTCTAAGCCGCCACTCCTCGCGACATGAGCGGACCAAAGCCGAAAAAGCAAGGTGGTGCCGTCGAGATTGAGGAATTTTTGATGGGATGCCTGCGTGCCTGGCCTGGGAAAGACCAGGGCCCTTAACTTGAAAGCCCTTCATCCGGTAAAACGCTAGTATGAGAGCTCGGAATACTCCGGAAATACTGTCTTTTGGGGCTCCTTCTTACATTTTTTAGAAAAACAGTACTATTCTAAGCAGTATATGGCCCTATACATTGAAGCCGAACGTTCTCGGTGTAGATCCCTGATTGATGAGCCGCCCGATTACAATCTGTGTAGAGGGGATAGGCTGCGTTAATCAGGGGCCTGCGTTAAGTATTGGTTGTCTAGCCTTTGGGCAATTCCTATGCTGAGCCGTTTGTGTATTGCATGTTTTTTTTCTTATGGCATAGTCTTATGCAGGTTATCAGGTCTTCTTAAGTGTCGCCTTGGCCATTGGGGAAGGTGTAGGGAGTGGGAAGAGAAGCCTAAACCCAAAACCCCAAATCCAAAACCAAAACCCTAAACCCTAAGCCCAAAACCCTATACCCTAAACCAAGACCGAAAATCCTAAACCGTAAACCCACACCCTAAAACGAACCTAATGGAAGTTGTTGGGCTCGAAACTTCGACTCGAAGCAGTCGGAGACTCGGAAGGCCCGAGCATAGCTGATAGCACCATCTCAGCCTTAGGGAGTTAGGGGTTAGGGGTTTTAGGTAGGGTTTAGGGTTTAGGGCCGGGTTTGGGGATTTTGGGGGTTGACGGGAATCCAAACTAGCGGTCAGTTTGATATTTTCTGCCTTACAAGCCCTATCTCCCAACTTGGCTTCCTCGGCAAACTCAGTTCGCTCAGGCAAATAGCAAGGGGAGTAAGAAAAAGGCATGATTAAGATGGAGACTCCTTACTGTAATACTTAGGGAAACACGACGAGTGCCTGGCAGGCTGGATTTCAATTTTCAGTGTTCTGAAGCAGACAGTTGCAGCATCCTGAAGCATTCGTGCTTGCACAACGACACATAAGTCCCACAGCCGCTAAATCCCAAAGCCGTCAAGTACCCTAGAAAAAAAACAGACAGGGGTTTCAGAAACAGCATGAATTGCATAAAGCCATGCAAAACCAAATCCCAGGCCCTAAACACCGAAATCGTCATGGGGCCTTGGAACCCTTGGAAGGAACCCTCCAAGGAGTCGTTTAAGGAAGTCGTAGAGAAACCCTTAAAGGAACCGTGCAAAGCAAGTCTTCAGGGAACCCTACACCTAAAAACCCTTCCTTTATGCGCGCCGAAACCCCTAAACCCCTAATAGCCCCTAAATCCTCCTGCCTTAAACCACCCTAAACCCTAAACCCTAAACCCTACACCCTAAACCCAAATGACACAACCCTAAACCCTAAACCCTAATGACCCTAAATAAACCCCAAAAGCCGAGGCCTCCGAGGGAGTGCCAGGGCGATGGACATCGCGAAGCTCATCCATGACCAGGTCATCTCTGTTGGGTTTGGTGCTGTAGGGTTTTGAGGGTTCAAGGTTTAGGGTTTCGCCACGTGTGCGATGTGCTACGAGGGACATTGGCCGGGCGAGCTCCAATCAAGCCTGTGCAAAAAAGGGTTTAGGGGCTTGAGGGGTAGGGCGAGGGTTCATGGTAAAGAGTTTCAAGGGTGAGGGTTCAACAGTTCCGGGGTGTAGGTTTCACCGGTTTTCTGGTTCGGGCAAGGGCGGGGTTTGGGGGGAGGGGGGTTGGGATTTGGGGTTTTAAGGTGCAGTGTGAGGCGTTTTTGAACTGATGTGTTGATTGGGGTACTATGATGTCCAAGGGTGGTTTTGGACTTTGTCAGATTCTTCGTGCAGTATGGTTCGCATAGAGGTGCCCCAAAGTCCATCGCTGAGCCCGCCAGCGGTGCAGGGCATGTGGAGTTTAGGTCTGAACCTGACATCCTGTCACTCCGACCAGCACTAAAAGCTGCAGGCCTCTTCCACTATACCTCAGTTAGGGGATATGCCTCCTAATCGGAACACACATCTAGGTGTTCCTGATGACGTTTTTTTTTTTGAATCGTATAAACCCGAAAAGGTGTTCGAACATAGCCATCATATGCTTCAGTGAGTTTTGGCTAGGTACTGTAAGCTTGAAGATCTGGGACTCCTTTTAAGTCCCCGGAGTTTCAGAATGCAACGGCCCCAAGTAATATAGGGGCCTAAATGATTACCTATACTATTTAGGGGGTTCTTGATCATACTTATACTATAAAGGGGCGCCGAAAACCCTATGCTAATTATTAAGGCCCCTACATTACAGACTTACTGTAGTAAGGTCCGTAGGGTTAGGAACCCGACCCGTAGGAAGCACCAGATTTAGCTCAGGTTCTCCCTTCGACGACCAGGGTTTCGGGTTTTTCGGGATTAGGGGTTTGGGGGGTTTAGGGTTTAGGGCAGCCAAGTAGCCATGTGGGGATCGTTTTCTTCTAATTGGGTGCCGGTAGTGCCACAGTAGTCAGTCAGATGAACCTTATATTGTTCCACCCTAAACCCTACACCCTCAAACCCTAAACCCATAAACCCGAAACCCTAAATCCCTAAACCCTAAACCGAATTGCTTCGTGCATGTAGCATGGAACGCTGTCAAATTCAAAGGGTGTCTCATGGCGTATGTCACCCTTTTCTGTCTGTTATGTGCAGTACTCCGTTTCACA